GGTTTACCAAATCAAAAATGCCGTGCCTTCCGCTTAACCCCTCCATTAAATTTTGCACAGTGGTCTCATCGACCTTATTCGCCGCCGAACGCCAGTTAGATTTAAACTGCTGCTCGTTTTCCATGGATTTATTAGTTTTGTTGATATTCCGTTTGACCAAGGCCCAATAACGTTCGATAGGGCGAAGTTCTGGGCTGTTGGGGGGGCTGTGGTTTTTTGGTACCATAACCACGTTGTTCGCATCGTACTACTCGATTGCCTTTTTCCCATAGTGGCAGCTCGCCAAGTCCGGCCAGAACAGCACAGGTCTTATGTTGCTTTAGGAATGGTAGCAACCGCTGGACGTAGATCTCTTGATTGATGGTTTCCGTAGTAATGGAAATGTCGCTTTTTAGACCACACGTGCATATGGCCTGTCAGACGAGATATTTTTTCGGGAACTTCGATAGTTTGATGGTTTTGAAAATTTCGGCCACCTTCCCTTTTCCTGATGCGGTATAAAACTCCTGTCCCGGAAGCTGCTTGAAATCCGCCTTCACATAAGTTTCGTCGTCCATGACGACACAGTCGAACTTTGTGAGCTGATTCGTATACAGCTTTCGGGATCGCTGCTTTACCGACGTGTTTTGTAATCTCGGTTCGCCACCTTCACCTTCTTAAACGTCGACAACCCAGCTCGTTTCTTGGCCCACTGCACAGTAGTATGGGAGACATTGAGCTTGTCAGCGACGTCCCGAATGGAGAGGTTAGGATTCCGCTTATATTTCACCACCACCTTCTTCGTCGTCGCTGCCACGTCCGGATAACGATTGCCGCTGCTTCCAGACTTCCTGACGGTCGACAGACGCTCCCCGAACAGTTTTAAAACGTTAGTCACGGTCTATTTGGCCACATCCAGCAATTTTGCCAACTTGGCGTGGGAGAACGTCGGATTCTCTTGCTGCGCGAGCAAAATTTTGACGCGTTGCTCCTCTTGCTTGGACGTCATTTTGAAAACAGGAGAGCAAATGGTGAAAACTCATCATAGGAACCATTGTATATACACTCAACTTCCAAATGCAGCATTTCAGGTTTTTTTTATGCATTTTTAACAGCAATACACCAATTTGAAGTTGGGGCCTCATAGCCTAGTCAGTAAAGGCACGGTATTACCAAGCCGGAGGCGGCGGGTTCGATTCCCGGTCCGGTCGAGGGAATCTTTCGGGTTGGAAATTTTCTCGACTTCTCTGGGCATAGAGTATCATTGTGCTTGCCACACAATATACAAATTCATGCATTGGTATTGGCATCGAAAACTCTCAATTAATAACTGTGGAAGTGCATTTAGAACACTAAGTTGAGAGCACGCAATAAGCTAATATGCGCTAAGCAATAAGCTTGAAATGCGAATAAGAAGAAGAAGACCAATTTGAAGTTGGCCAATTTTTGCGCGTTCCAGACTTTATTAGCCTGTCATTGACTCCAAGTGGTCATCAGATACGATATCAATGTGAAAAGCTTAGACGTTCACCTCTTTGTTCACCCTTTTGTCCACCTCAAATATTCACATGCATTCCCAGCGACAAGGAATCAAAAATATCTCCAAATGACAAAATGACAAGCGATCAACGAACCGAATAATAACGCTATGTCATAAGTGCAAAGCATATAAGTGCAATAATGATATAATCTTCTTCGTTCTTTTTCATGACAAGCAGCCCGTGCGACACAACTCACTCGGGGCGGTAGAAGGAAACGAGCAAATTTTTGGAAAACTGCTTCACGAAGGGGAATTTTTTTGTTATGTCTTTTCTCGATTCATATCAAGCTATGTCCTCATCCGTGTATATTGCAACAAAGCAGGCAAGCAATATAGGGTATACGTCCCTAACCTCGGTCTAATATGCAGCCATAGATTACGTTTTTAATCATAACTCATCAATTAATTTACCTGCAAACGATATTCTACTGCTAAATGGTATGCTTAGATATGCTTATCATGTCGTTTGCTATCAGGAACCGCAAAAAGTTGAAAAACTTACTTTTTTTAAGACAAAAACTCACCAGGGAAATGTATGTAATATCGGTCTATTGTCCCCAAATTGGGTCTATTTATGGATGCAACTTCGTCCTATCCTGTTTGATTCTCAAAAAAAACGCTCTTGGTAACGTTTTCTTATGTATTTTTTTTTATCACTATCACTGTTAACTTAATACTCTTCATTCCTCAAAACATTTCTTAGAGAAAATTTTACGAAAACTACATTAAATCACTCAAGTTAAAAATTAAAAATTAAAAATTTCGCTTATCGTCTTTCGACCGCAGAATATCTAAATCAAAACATTGTGATGTTCATTATACAGATTTGGCAGAAAAAATCTCCCTTCCTGTTCGTTCCTTATCATCCAAATGCAAACCACATTGTTGACGTTACTCTTATTGCTATATGCTGTCAAATGAATTTCATGGGCCAAAGTTAGGAACATAGAAAAGAAATGTGTCCCTAAAGTTGGGTCCATGATTTACTTGTGAAAACGTTGTTAAACAATTAAAATAAACATAAAATATTCAAACAGTAACTGTGAGTTTTACGTCTAGTGTGTATTATCAGGTAATTCCATTCAATAAATGCCATAATCAGGCCATTTGATGATCGTCAGTGCAACCTTCCCATCTTAACCTTAGAAGTCATGGCGGCTAAAAACTCCGAACAGAGTGATATTCTCAACCAGTTTTATTACTTACGAGAGCTGAAAATGTATTGAAATGTTGTGATATAAATTGATTTGTGTGTGGTACACATTTATCAATCATCAGTGATCAATATTTTCCTTATTTTTTGTGTAATATTCCTTAATTAATTATTTATTTGCGTGATAGGCCGAATGAAAGGACTAGACCCACATTACATACCGTAACCCTATCATTATCCTTTTACCATTCGGATCGAGCTATGTTATAGAGCGAGTTTGTCATGGTAGTCGTAGCAACCGTTTTGTCTGTATCGTTGGTTGCATTATGTGTTTGGATTCGCTGCCCAGCGATCAAGAGTCCATGAATAATCAACAAAACATTCTAATACACTAGCAAACCCCGCAAGCTGATGCTATCGTAAATGTCAGCAACTTCATGAATGTCAGCTCACGAACCCCCGACATTCAGCCAGAAAAATTACTACTAATTTAATGCATCTTCCAAATAAGCTTCAATGTTCCATTTTTTGTTTGTTTATCAAATGGTAAATTCAGTCCTCTATATCCGTAATACGCCCGCGAGGGTCAAATCTTCGTAAACTACTCAAATAACTTTTTTTTATAACTATTGCTATTAAATCAAAACTCCATCATCACCATCGTGGCTAACAAAATAGTTTTTGCAATGCTACAATAATTATTAAAAAGTCGTTATGACAGCTATCCTGGTTGTCTCCAAGGTCTTTTGTAGCCAAACTTAAAAAAAAAAAACAGATAAATATTGGTGAAATTCTTGAAGAGATACAAGCAAAAGTATGTTTAGAGATGATGAATTATAACATTTGTACTGACTTTGTGGGCGCAGATCAAGAAAAAATCATAAGTGAAGGGATATTTTTGTTTCAGGACATGATTTCGTTTGCATTGAAGATGTTTTAGAAGCATAAGACTAATAGATATACCATCATGAAGCTAGAATTTCCAATAGTGAGACAAAAGTTCGAGGTAGCGGTTCAAAGATTCGAGTTGTGTCTTAAACTCTTGTATGAAAAGTGTTTATTTACGCTATACAATCAAATCTGGAGCGGAATGCGCCAAAGACCTCGTATACACTGCACTTCTATTGCATTTATTATGGGAATCGATTATTTTCTTAGTGGATTTCGTTGTTCCTCAAGTTCTGACAATATCTGGCAACAAACTTATGTTTTTTTCAAACTCTTCCATACCATCATGGGGTCATAAAGTTTGTGAAATTTTGCCACATTACTGAATCGAACTTGTGCTCCACCGGTGGGGCGACAGTTTGGTTCTGTAAAAATCGTTCTAGCTACGAATGAACTGAAAACTCTTCAAAACTTTACTATAAATAGGGAATACTGTGTATGCAATTAGTTTGATTTAAAATGCATGGTGCTTTGATACATTTCAATTTTTTCAACTAAGCTCGAACTTTTGCACACTTTTCTCCATCTCGTTTCTTTGCGTGTAATAGAAAAACAAAAATAATAAACATTTGTGGGTTAAAAAAGTGAATCCATTAATAGCACTTTAATATAATTGATTTAACAGCTCTGCATATAATTTTTAAAATGTTGCAACATGCAATAACTAATCATAGTACAAAGCATTATTCTATGTTACGATCATTACATTTTCAACATTTTTGTCTTCTTGTTCAATCAAATAGCTTCCCACCTCAGTCCCTCTTAATTGATTCCTCACAACCCACCCATCTGGAAGCATCAGCAAATTGAACTAGCAAAGGTAGACTTTCTTTGCCCGATAGCTAACCAATTGGTAGTAAGTGGGTGGCTGCCTGGTTGGAACGTGTCTGTCGTAATCCAAACTAGGCTCATTTCCACGCTGCTGCCCGCCAGCCAAGCAATCAATTCCAATAGAGGAGCTACGATGGGATACAGTCACGCTGCTGCCGACAGCAGCAGCAACAACAAGAAGTGTGAGCCTTCGGCATATTCACGACCCAGGCAGGTTCTAGCCATCAGCCATGGTGGCGAGGCGATGGATAAAATAAATACAATGACGATGATAGTTTCCCATGATGAACGTTTTTGATAAGACGCGGCCAAATTAGATTACCGCTGATTTCAACGGAAATTGGTGCGCGCGTTGAAGGGGTTTGGAAATTGCTACGAAAAGTTATCAAGCTACTGAATTGATCAGATCGAAAAGTTTTTTTTTGGGTGGGATCGTTCTACGAAACTTTTCTGGTATATATATTGATTTTCGCTGGGGGCAAATCAGTCAGTTTCAAATCAAGTTTCAACCCGAGGCAAGCAACAGTCTTTGAAAAGTTCAAGCGAAAGATGTTGAAGATTGTGGTGAATCTGAATTCAGAGGAAAATCGAATTACACAGGTGCTGATTACAGTTTTAAATATTTCAGATTCTATTTGTGACAGTTGCTGCTGTGGCTGGCAGTGAGGCGAAGGTAGAAGAAACGACAACTAAGAACACCGTGAAACGTGGTTTGGATTTCGGTTTCGGTGGACATAATGCCGTAGGTTTTGGGGGCAGTAGTGATCCTTGGAGCGGATCATCAAGACTAAGTGCGGCACCTTGGATTCAGTGAGTGTTACAAACGTTTAATATAATAATAATTGGAACTACTCTCTAGTTAGTGTATTGTTTAAGCAATTGCTCGGTTTTCTGTATCGAGAATTTAATGAAGTTGCCAATAAAAGGCACATGAACTTCTGATCCTAGGTTGACTTTCTACGGCCTACGTGGTTATTTTATCTGTGTTAACCATAGTTACATGCTAAACCCTCTAGGAACAGTGGATGGAAGCACGGACCCTCTCCGGCAGAGATAGCTGCCACAATTTCTGCTGCCAAGCAAGCCTCGGCTCAGGTATTGATCGCTCAGCAGCAGGTCCAAGCGGCTAAAGATAATGTGCTGAACCAGCAGAAGGTCGCAAACGAGAAGGAGGCTTCTGCTGCCTACGCATCGCAGAAGAGTGAAGCAGTCGCAGCTGTGCAACGATCGGAAGCAGCAGCTGCAGCTCAAGCGGTCGTTTTGGCTCAACATCGTCTAGCGGCTGCCAAAGCCAATGTAGCTCATCATCAACGTATAGCAGCTGCCAAGGAATCGTTGGCCGCTCAAGCGATACAAAGCTCGGCTAAGGCAGCTGCTGCTGAGATTCATCGTGCTGGTAGGCCCATGTTGCCCACTTGTTTAAGATAACGCAATCTAATTCTAATGCATGTATGTTTATCCTAGAAATTCAAGCTGCTAAGCTCGCAGCCCATCACCGTTCGGATGCTGCCTCCCTCAATCACCATGTTATTGCTATTAAGGATGAATCCTTTGCTCCGCTGACCTTCGGAGGTAATCAGATTCCCACGACTCAGCTGTACCGTGCGCTGGCTGGCCCTTGGAACGACCTGTCATCGGCGTCGGGGCAGAGCCCATGGGCTAATGGATTCCCCGCCGGTAATCAAGGAAAACCTGTTTGGGGCTAGGCGATACATACCGTGAACAATTGCTCAACTAGATAGAATCAATAAATGCTTCAGTTTGCTGCCTCAAATATTGTGTTTGATTATGTGAACGATACATTTTGAGTACTTTTCTTACAAAGCTTACCAAATTTAGCATTTAACTTTATGGAGTGTTTCTTGACCTTTGCTTCACAAAATTCATTATATTTTAAAGGAAAAAATGTTTGCAATTTGATGCCTAGGCATATCAAACGTTCAGTAACACCTTACAGCATGTAAGAGACACTGCATTTCACACGTTAAAATTGTATTTTGATCAGTAATCCAGTGATTTTTTTTTTATGAACTGACAAATAATGTATCTTGACGAAATTTGTAACGATTGATTTGTATGGATAGCTGTCATTATGGCTTTTTAATAATTATTGTAGCAAAGCAAACATTATATTGTTCGCCATGATGGTAATGATGGGTTTTTATATTTGATATAATAGTAGTAGTTTATAATAAAATAGTGGATAGTCTTAACATTCTGGCTGAACGTCGGGGGCTCGTGACCATTCCTGACATTTCTGAAAATTATGATAGGATCATATTGCGGGGTTGCTAGCGTGATAGAATGCTTTGTTAATTATCCATGAACTCTTGATCGCTGGGAATGTTTGAGAATACTTGAGATGGATAAAAGGTTGAACAAAGAGGCGAACGTCAAAGCTTTTCACATTTATATCGCTGTGAAGCAACTGAAAATTGTTGAGGGTATGTATATCTGTAGGGGAAGACGGGGAATGAAACTTTAAGATTCATGCAAATATTCAATACAGAATAGATTACCAACATGTTTTTATTATTCACTGAAACACTTTGTAGCTCCCGAACTTACGAAACGTCACAACAATAAATAAAAACAAACTTCTCGTACGGTGGGGCTTTTCACGATCTAATTAACATCTAAGGATTATTGATTAAAAAAACGGTGTTTTCTGACCTTTGTTTGTACCTTTTTCTCTCAGTAGGCTGTACTATAGACGAACAATTGAAATGGCCTCAACTCCATTTTGTAAACAAACATTGTAAGGCCATTTTCTCGCGAACCAAAGTCCGCCAACGCAAACCAACCAAATGAACAGGTAGGGGAAATTCTCATCTACCGATTGTGTGTTAGGTTTGTGAATGCTCGTGCGAATGTACACTCAAAAATATTACAAAACGGATATAGATTAAATTTTATGCATTTTATGGTTTTTCAAAATGTATACATTGGTCCGATTAAAATTTTCGTCAAAACTATACTAAGTCCGAATAACGAAGTGGAATTCGGTCAGTGTTTACTTAAATGACAGGAAAAAGACCATCTGGATTCCCTTCGGAGCTTCGTGCTGGTGAAGAGCTTTTTCCCGGCGGATTTCTACTGCGACTGTGATCTGCTGGGCAGCATCGAAATTGTAAGTATTTTTTTAAATTATATTCATAAAAAATAAACTAATTAAAAAAGCTTTCTGAGACAATTTTTATTTTTATTTGAAAACAATAATATTTTCCATAAATAAAATAAAGAAGCGAAAAATACGTTCTCTCGAATAAACCTTATATATGCATTGAAAGTATATTTCGATTTTATACTATGGCACGCATAAACTATTTTTATACTAAGTTTGCATTCTCTCCCTTTATACCGACCTTTGCGTCGGTACGAAGAGTTGCTATTTAGCGTAACTTTTATATTATTTAGATTTCAATATTTTTTGGGTGTAGGTTTCGGTTCGCGAGAAAATGGCCTTATAAGGTTTGTTTACAAAATGGAGTTGAGGCCTTTTAAATTGTTGGTCTTGAGTTATTCCAATCGAGAAGAAGACCTGTTAACTGGATTAGATGTCGCCTCTTTACTCAATTCGACAGTGAGCATTCATAAGGGCGTAAACGCGATGATCGATTCTCTTCGTCGATTTTCTCTTTTGCTAATAACTCGCTATATTTAACGTTTCTCAGTGCGTTTGCTGTTGCTTTTGATAGCCAATACAACCTATTACAACTCTCCATTGAACAAATTCTTGAAAATTGTTTCGCTTATCTGTAGCAATGCAAAGAGAAAATCGATGAAGAGAATCGATCATCGCTTATACGCCCTTATGCATGCTCACTGTCGAATTCACTCTTTTTAGGCTGTACTTCTTCTGTGATGGTATCTACAAATCTAATAGCGAATTCGTTTATTATTCAGTTCCAACCTGGATCGGGTAGCAAGATTGGGTCTGCTTGTTTTCTGTCAAATTTCAGTTTGCTCGTTTGTTTTTAAAACCTGGCTCAGGTTGAGGTTTTCACTGACAAAAAGTTCGGTTTCGCAATAAGATTAAGATCATGCAACTAGGTATAGATTTTGATCCAGTTTGTTATCCAGTCGCTGATTGGTTGATTTTGAAGACTCTGAGTGTGTGTGCAAAACTACCATCGGGTTTTTTGTTTCGAAGCTGGCCGTGTTGCGGTGTTGCATTGTATCATTGTTATTTTTGCGCGTAGTAATGTTCTTACTTTAGGGGTTCAAGTAAAAACCAAAAAATAAAGTATAAAGCGTTCAATGTCGGACGCAGTAGTAAATCGCATTTACCGATTCCCGAAGATCCCAATAGCGCGTAGGAAATGGATTCGTATTTGTATGAACCATGAGGCAGACATACCGAATGGCACCACTGTTAAAACGTAGCACGCAATGGGGGAAAATATACAATGTGGTGGTCCACCGTTCTTAATATAACCACCGACAAATCGACATGAAATTTAATTCTGACGTTTGCTCAAAAATCGTAAACGGCCGATTTAAATGTGCAGTGATCCGAACTGTCAAAACCATAGGATTTTTTTGATTAGTTAAACATAATTTGTCCAGAATAGCTCAGACATAAACCACTTGATAACTTTTGCATGTGGGCTCATGGTTTAGTTAAATAGGGAAAATGTATGTAACGTTGGCCTAAGTGTCCCTAATTTGGGCTCATACATAAATTCAGCAATCGACTAAATTTTCAATTGCAACCAAAAATATCCATTATTACCGTCCCAATGACGCGCTCATCTAGATACAATTGATAAATAGCAGATTTTTAGCGATGGGCCCAATCTTAGATCCATAGGCCAACATTAGAGCCATTCACCCTATTTCACGTGACCACAGAACCAGATGTCAGTAGTGTGATTTGGTAAGAAATTTGATTGTTTTTGCTATATTCATGTCGGTTTGTCGGTGATATAACCGCCAATTGCAATGCTTTTGTGATTTGACGTTTAATATAATGGGTATTGTTTCAATATGATTTCTACCATTTTCCCGAGCGTAACCGGAGTGTGTCTGAATGAAGCCAATGTGGCCCTGGGCACACAATAAGCGAACAGAAGCCACTACTGTTTTTCAGTGAATGTATTTTACATTCACTGAAAAACAGTAACAAGTTCTGCCCGATCTAATCCGTGATGCATAAGAGATACAGATTTGAGTTATGGCCAAAAGTTGTAGCTAATAACAAAACCTACTAAAGCTCTAAACAATATTTTGCGGAATGCTGTTGATTAAAAAAGTTGGAGACAAACGAATGTAAATGAATGCATGAAATGAATGTAAATGATTTTCCATACCTGGCTCCATGTAATTTTGTTGTTCAAGTCATTTAATTTCGTTACAAATTTAGCTGATTATAAAGTCTGCACATGTTCGTCACTGACTGCATTGTCATTGACCATCGACATGATTTGCCTTGACTATGATTGTTAGCTCAAAAGAGTGACCAAAGCAGAGTTGTCAATATCACCGTGTATTGTCGAGATTTTGCAGCACTGGCTCCTCTATACGTCCCAAAATACCCATCCTATAATACATTCTGTTTCCAGCGATAAAAAGATAAACAAAACTAACAACACTGGTACAGCTGGCGCTCCCTCGTAAGCTCGGCGAGGGTACGAGCCTGTTCCACCTTCCTTATTTGAGACATGGGTGTTTTGACGTTTGAGAAGTTTGAACGGGCAAAATACTTCCCCGCTCTGGTACCGAAGCTCACTCAGCCGGCGCCGGTGATGTAGTGGTAAGCGTGACTACTTTCTCACACCCCAATGGGTCTGGGTTCAATAACAGCCGAGGTCGGTGGGATTTTTCTGAGGCATAAAAATCTCTGGTCACGTCTTTCTTCGGAAGGGAAGTAAAGCCGTTGGTCCCGGCCCATGTATTTTGAATGGGTGCGATATGCTTCGCAGGTGTGGAAGCTGCCTTTCTTCGTGTGGAAGCTGCCTTCGATTGCCGTCAATGGATGGCAATCGATGTCCGTCGGTGATTGGCACTAGATTGCGGAACAGAGACCGACGTTAAATAAAGGAATGAAGAAGAAGAAGAAGAAGAAGCTCACTCACAGGTGTTGGATAAGTGGATAGGGTAATACCCCGGACAGACTATGGCTTATATCATGTAATATAGGCTGTCTTGCAATGAGCACTCATACATAGGATTTCCAGTGAAAACTAGATGTACATATGAGTGCTCATTGCAAGACAGCCTATATTACATGATATAAGCCATAGTCTGTACGGGGTATAACTCAACTTGCGACGATCAAGAACGTCAATGTTCGGATATTGTTGGTAGTTGATCGGATTGTCTTTACAGCTTGATTTTCAATTATAGCTTGCTGAAAAAGACGATTCTAAAAGTTACTCTTGAAAGGAGTGGAAGTGTGCGCGAGTTCCTAACGTAGCAAATATTGTAGAGGTTAGAAAGTAAAAGAACCTCAACGTTGTAGAAGTGTTTTAATCTTGGGCTGTTTTCTCTTTACTTTGGTGGTAATAAGTGTAAGTTGCTTAGTAAGAAATAAGGAGTGCGTAGTACGAGATAGTAGTACGTCCAGGTAACAATTTGATGCTTAACAAGTGTTGTTCAATCGCCTTAGTTTGAATAATTGTTGAACATAGACCACGTTAACCTTTGTTCAGCTTTTAAATATCTAAATCTGGTGATTTTAATCAGCCAAAAGCTTAACAGTTAC